CCAAATCCTGAGTCTGATTTTATCTCTTTGCCTTGAGCCGGTCGATGTGTAGGTCGTTACAGGGAGACACAGAGTATCAGGCAAAAATGCACCCTCATAACATCAGAGAGGCCAGCATTTGAGCCATGCACTAACTGACCAGATGGTTCTGTTGCTCTTTAGTATGATCCAAGAGAATTTCAGTTTTTGGTTTGTCTGACCACAGAACAGGAACTCATTTTAAATTAAGTGGTTGTGGATGGTGTTCTTCTTCTTTATAGAACATAACCATCACTTGTGGATGACACGGTGAATTGTATTTCCTGACAACGGTTAGTAGAAAAGTTTCTTGAGGTCTTGCAGTGACGTCCAGAACAGAATCACACATTTTTAATGTAGCTGTGGTGTCAGTGTGAACCCGTCAGTTTTTGACCAGTTCAGTTGAGTTTTCTTCATCAGTGGTTTGTCCACTTTCTTACAAACCTCAGACTGATGAAGAACCCATGTTGAACGCAGTGTCCACCTCCTCACCTGCTGAAGTTTGTGGTAGACTCTTCTTCTTCTAGTCAGTTTGAGAAGACGGCCTGCTCTACACATCACCCATAGTACTTCTGTTTCCTAAAGATGGATGTGGAAGAACTCTGGGATGTCTGGGCCTTTAAATCATTTTGTATTCATCCCCTGAACTTTTCAATTCTCTTCTCTGAGTTGAATTAGGACAGTCACTTTAAAGGGCTAACATTGATCCAATCACTCGTTTTAAATTACATTCAATTAACATTATTTTATGCTGACATTACTGTCATAAATCAAAGGGAGTGAACACTTTTTATAGGCACTGTATATGAAACGTAACCTAATTACAAAGTATTCTTCAGATTTGAGGCCCGAGTGAAAGAAAACTGATTTGGGTGACTTAAGACTTGCTTCATGTTGTCTTATTTTCATTAAACAGACCAAACGTGAAGCTCAGCGAAGCTGCATGCAATCACAAACTGCAACACATCAGCTGTAATCAGCAGCCGTGTATCGCTGAGGCTTACAAGTCCAGAAGGAGCAGCTTCCAGAGCAGAAAGCTACAGCGTCCTGTCACATCCACAGCTGGAGCGAGGCCAGCGGCAGCTTCTGCAGCGAGCACCGTGGACTGCACCGTGGACTGCATGGTGGACTGCACCGTGGGCTGCACCGTGGGCTGCACAGTGGACTGCACCGTGGACTGCACCGTGGACTGCACCGTGGACTGCACC